GGAACCGATTACTGTATCGAACAAGGAAATATTTCTCTCTTAAAGCCGATCTGCCTGTCCTTACCGTTCTACGTTGCATGATGGCCGACGTCTGTCGTGTTTAGGCACTCAGACTAGAAGTGTCTCTGAACTAAAGTAAACAGCCTATGATCAAGAAGCTTGTTTCTCAAGAAACTCCTTGTTTTCTGCTTATCTACGAAGGTCACCAGTATCCGAAAGAGAAGAATTATTCTTTACCTAGTGAAGTGATTTACGACTGATTATACAACGTAAAAGCCAATGTTGTTGAACGCATTTCAATCGTCGCTCTTGCTCCTTCATTTTAAAGCGTTTTACCTACACGGCTATAACAATAAACCTTCATCGGAACGCTATTCCAAACATGTGAATGTAACATTAGGCACGTAGAATTTCGTGCTTCTCCGCTGCCCTTGCCGGCGTCATAATGAACAACGGACGGGCGGCAGAATTATAGGAATGTGCACTTCAGAGGTACGCGCTCTGGAATTCGCCTGAAGCACGCAGACGTCGGCGAAGAAGTAGTCTGAATCGCTGCGAGCAAAAACTAGAACATCCACTTTACATCATCGAGTCGGTAGTCGTGCACTCATTGACGACCGTGCAGCGGCGGCAGCGCCGACTTCACACCGGGCTACATTCCACGCACATTTCACATAGAATTCATTCGAGAGGCCGGCGCCAATTGCGCGCGTCGCCGTTCGGCAATTTTCGCACAAATCACACATTAAGACGTATATTTATTGCAACATACCAAAATTACAGAAACACAAAAGTTACAGACGTCCTTCAAACTATAATAAATAACAATCGAACAATAAGCCTAGTAATATATTTCAAAGTACGCCGCAGTGAGTAAATGCGGACGAAATAAACGTGTTGAACGAACGAGCTGTAGAATCGTGGGGGATTGCGGAAGGGACAAAAAAACTCCGCTGGAACCTGAGTCCTCGCGCTATGAAAGAAACGTACACGCACAAACGGTAGCGGTAAATTATACACAAGGTCAAACCGTACAAATAATAAATAATATACACCGACTGGATGACTACTGTACAGAACGATGTACACACGAATGAATGAGTACCCATCACAGACAGAAGACGGCATGTTTGTAAGGAAAGGGTGGACAGGAAGGACCAATCGATTAGTTCAGCTTGATGGCTTTGCTTCTCTCACAACGTTTCGCAGGCACTACCTGTGCCGATGCAGTTACTGCTGGCCGAACTGTATGCGCTGCTGCAGGCGCTGCCGAGCTCGACGCCAACTTGTGCCAGGGATAGGGTGGTGGACTGAAACGGATGAGGCTTGACAAAGCAGCAGCGCTGCCGGGACAAGGTACGGTCCGTGTGAAGATTCATGACACGGCCAGCCACCGCATAGTTCGTATCGCTGTCACTGGAAGCACATTTGGTATCACAGGCATCTGACGTCGATGGAAGCAGAGAATGATCTACCAGCGCGTTC